ACCCCGGGCTGATCTCTAACTAAACGAGCCTGGTTTTTTGTCAGGCGAATCATAACAGAGAGAAAGAGAGAGAGAGAGAGAGAGAGAAAAAAAAGACAAAAACAAAATGGCCTCTTATACTTATGACAACGAGGCCTATTCTGGTGGAGGTAAATATTCGACATTATTATTTTTTTCGACTATTCTTTTGACAGTGTATTCTTATGACTGTCATTGTCATATTGCTATTTTTACTCTTCTTTTGCCCATTTCCTGTTGTTGAGGTTATTACTATCATCGTTGTCAGCCCCATAATTGTTATTGTTGATGTTGTTATTGTTATCGTTGTCAGTATCATGATCTTCATTGTTGTTATAATTGTTATCAACATCAATATCAGTATTGTTATCATTAACATTACCATTTTGGTGTATTTCCCATCGTCCTTATCCTAATCATCATCATTATAAAATCATGAAAGTGATAACCATCCTCATTACGGCCAAAATTATTATGACCATCATTATTGCTACAACTAGTTTAGTAGTAGTAGTAGTAGTACTAGTAGTAATAGTAGCAGTAATAGTGTCATTGTCATTAGTAACATTATTATAGTTTTGTTGCCATTATTACTTTTACTAACATGATTATGAGTGTCAATAGTAGTGCTATTATCTTATTGCTATTTCTACTATTTTTATTATCATTACTAATGTTATTATTGGTAGTAGTTGCAGTAATGCCATTGTTATCAGTATTGTCAATATCATTATCACTATCATTATTGATATTACTCAAATAATTATTATCATTATTATCGTTGTTGTTGTTATTGTTGTGATTATTGGTATTATTTTGCTATTATTAGTGGTAGTAGTAGTAGTAATAGGTAATAGTATCATTATCATTATCATTATTACTATTGCTATCATCATCACCATCATTATGGTTGTTGTTATTATGATTCTTATCATAGTTGTTGTTATCATAATTATTGTTATTATCTTTATTATCATTATCATTACCATTGTCTTTGTTGTTTTTGTTATCATTATCATCATTATCATCATGATTATTATCATTATCATTATTGTTATTACAATTATCACTACTGTTTTTTTTATTTTCATTATCGTCATTACCATTATCATTATCTTTGTTATTATTGTTATCACTCTTATTATCATTATCATTATCATTATCATTATTATTACTGTCAGTGTTATTGCCATTATTACTTTAACATTAATATTAGTTTATCAGTATTATCATTATCATTGCTATCGTTTTTATTATTACTGACACCACCACCACCATCATCATCATTATCATCATCATCATCATCATTATCCTCACCACCATCGTCATAACCACCACCATTATCATCATAACCATCATTATCATCATCATCATCAATCATTATCCTCACCACCATCGTCACAACCATCACCATTATCATCACCATCAACAATCTTCATCATAACCATCATCATGACCACACCATCACCATCAATATCATCACCAGCACCATCGTCATATCACCATCAGCACAACTACAATCACCATATCACCATCATTATCACCGTCGCGACCATCTCCATCCCCATTACCACACCATCAACATCATCAGCATCACCACTATCATCACCATCATCATCATCATCATCATCATCATCATCATCATCATCATCATCATCATCATCATCATCATCATCATCATCATCATCATCATCACCGTCATCATCACCATCATCATCACTGTCATCATTATATGTTGTCAACGCTCGTATTACAGCCTATGATATTAAGAACCTGTATATCATGTGTTTAAAGAATGTTTATTGCAGCAAGAAGTGAAAAAAAATGTTCGATAATGATGATGATCTTCAAGTTGCTTTTATTAATATCATTATCAACTTTATCACAGTGTATATTGGTCCCGGTGTAATAAACCAGAGTATACCCCCTCCTAGCATATATCCTGGTATATTTGGCTAGTATAAGCCGTATTCATGTTGACAAATGTAGAAAAGGTATGAATGAGAATGAATATCTTCACAATACAAGAGATGTATTTGACGGGTTTCGATTTAAATACATCTCTTGTATTGTGAAGATATTCATTCTCATTCATACCTTGTCTACATTTGGCTAATGTGATTGTAGGTGTATTGTAGGATAGTCTAAAATCCTATACACACCTAGGCCAGAATATAAATGTGTTATTTTTTTGTGTTATAGTTAGTAGTTTTCCTTTTAAACCAAAGTTGTTATGTCTCTTGTGCCTTTCTGATGAAGTGAAATTACGGTTATATATGTTCCTCTGACTTTTCCATCAGTGGGTATCTGCATGGACATATAGAAATTGTGTAATTGTGTATAATATAATAATGGTGGTGATTATTATGATGATAATGATATTGGCAACACTTTTGGGAGTAATAATGATAGCAAAGATAATGATAACAATGATAATGATAATGATATGCTCTATCTCTATCTCTTTCCTCTCTCTATCTCT